ATTCAACTGAACCTAAGCCAATGCTGCTTCTCCAGAGAGGACACAAGTGGAGACCATCTCTGAGAAGCAGCTCTTGCCCCTGGCATGCCAACACCCACAAGCTTTGAACCCGCTCATGAGGGAGATCAGAAGCCCCTGAGGTGATCATGGGTGCCAATCTGGTAACCAGTTTGAAGGAAAACACACCTGGTTACCAGACTGGAAATGGAGAACTCAAACTGTCAATCACCTTGGTTTCCCCTCAGGGCCTCTGATTTCCTGTCTCTCTTCTCAGCAGATACTGTATGTGTCCACCATGCACTCTGAACATATGTGATCCTCTGACCCTCTGTGCTTTCCCTTCTGAAAACATAGACTGGTAGAGAAGGGAGCAGAGTAGGCAGGAATTTTGGGAGTTCAGAAACAATAGGACCTCAAAGCAGGGCCTGAGTGTGGACAAGAAATCTAGTGACATTGACTTTATAACTGGAAAATTTCAGTCAAAACACTCAGTTTAGCCAAGCTTTTCTGCCCAATGTTCACTGCCCCTTTCTACCTTTAGGAATCCGTACTGGAGACACATATCCTCCCCCATCTGGTACCTTTGTGTCCAGGAGAATTCATGCTTGGGCCAGACATGGCTGGGCACACCTAGAATTCCAGCAGTTGGCAGGCTGAATCAGAAGGGTTGCTGCGAGTTCAGCACGATCCTGTCCCAAAAAAAAAAAATTGGTGTTTAGTAGAGAAACAAATTTAATGCAATATACACACACACACACACACACACACACACACATATATATATATATATATATATATATATATATATGAATTTATAAAATTGACTTACAGTGGTCACCCAGAGCCTGGCATTGAAGAGTGGGAAGGATCCAAGTAAAGGTCCGGGCCTTAGCGTGGTGTCTCGCAGAAGTCTGGATCTGGAGGTTGAAGAATGAGCAGTGGAATCGAAGAGGCATCTAGAGGTTGTCTGAACAGTAGGAGGAAAGCCGCCTTTTATCCCATTCCTGGGCCAACCCTACCTAGAGTGGGATTACAACCCTCCCTAGGGTGGGGGGCTTAGAACCCTCCCTAGGGTGGGTCACAACCATCCGAGGGTGGGGTGGCCAGCATACCTAAGATGGGTTACAACCCTCCCGTAGGGGTGGGTTGCTACTCTCCCTAGGGTGAGTTACGACCCTCCCCTAGGATGGGATTACAATCCTCCTAGGGTGGGTTACAATCCTCTCTGGCTTGGGCTAAAACCCTCCCTAGGGTGGGGCTTTTGCAGCCCTCCCTAAGGTGGGATACAGCCCCCCTAGGATGGGAGGGTGGTCACAGCCCTCCCTAGGGTGGGTTCAGACCCTCCTAGGCTGGGGGGTTATAGCCCTCACTAGGGTGGGTTACAGCCCTCCATAGACTGGGGTTACAACCCTCCTGGGGTGGGTTGCTACTCTCCCTAAGATGGAGTGGGGTCACAACTTCCCTAGGATGGGTTTGGACCCTCCCTAGGAAGGGTTACCACCCTCCCCTAGGGTGGGGTTACAATCCTCCTAGGGTGAGTTACTATCCTCTCTAGGTTGGGCTACAACCCTCCCTAGGGAGGAGGTTACAGCCCTCCATAGGGTGGGTTACAACCTTCCCCTAGGGTGGATTACAACCTTCCTAGGGCGGGGGTTCAACCTTGGGGGGGGTTTCACAACCCTTCCTAGGGTGGGTCTTCCATGCCCAGAACTATGCTAATCCATGAAGTTGAGTACTTTTTACTCAAATTGACACAATCAGTTACCTATTACAAAGAGATTTCTCGAGCAGCACAAATCAAGGCCCACACCCACACACTTCCACTGGTGCCTATAGTTCTGAGGTGTCTTGTGATAATTAACTAAGAAATTATGTGATAATTAACTAAATAAGAAAAGCCCAACTACATTGGATCAGTGTAGTTCTGGGTGTGGCTGAAGGGATCTGCTGGAGAGAAGCCCCGCCCTAGGTGTGAGTGACAGCAACCAATAGGCTTGCTGCCTAAATGCAACAAAAGGGAAAGGAAGAAAGAAAGCTCCCACCTGTTTCTGGAGGTGCCCAGTCTTCCCCTTCTCCTTAGATGTTGTCTCCTGGCTTCCATTCCAGATCCTTCAACCTCCTGAGATGGACTTGCTTGGGATACTACAGTGAGCTGCGGGCCTTCACCCGGCTCCTTTGGAGCTCCCATGCACAAACAGCCCTTTTGCATTTTGCCACATCTGACTCTGTGGGTGGTCGTTTTAAGCCCCTCCCCCCCCACTTTTTTTTTTTACTTTTGTGACATGTTCTCACTACATAGCCCAGATTCCACTGGATCTCATGGTGATCCTACTGCCTTGCAAGTGCTGGATTTAAGGGCGTGGACCTCCATGTTTGGCTAAGCCAACCTTGTAAATCCTCACATACTTATATATCTTGTATTAAATCCCTTTCTCTAATAAGCATTGATTGATACAGAATTGGGTATCAGACATTACTCTGGAGAAATAGAACTGTAAAGATGAAGCTCTTTAATGGCTATAGTACTTACGGGAGTTTGCTTGCTACTTTGATGGGGTCTAAGATGTCATTTAAATCTCCTTCTGATACTGAGAAATTCTGAAAGTTCCTGGTGCAAACTATTTAAAGTAATATATAATGCAGATCTATTTGATTATCCTAACTCACCACTTGTGAGATGTAAGGAATTTAGTAACTCTCTATAAAAGTTAATTTTGAATATTTACCAAGTAACTCAGAAAATAGCTAGTTTTGAGTTGGACTCAGAATAAGAGAAGGCTCTGTAACAGGTCCAGGGTTATACAGGCTGCTCTGTTAATATGATCCATCAGAATCTATTGTTGTTGAAGTGTCAGATGCGGGTGGAGATGCTATTTGGAGTCTCTGGCAGGCTCCCACAGGTGAATTGAAGTGGAGGTCTTTTGGGTTTTGGAGCAAGCCTTTGCCATCCTTTGTAGACAACCACTCTCCCTTTGAAAAACAGCTCTTGGTCGGCTTCTGGTCCTTAGTGGAAACTGAACCCTTGAGAATAAGACAGTAGGTTACTATGTGACCTGAGTTCCCCATCACAAGCTGGTGATTATCTGATCCACCGAGGCATAAATTTGGACCTACACAGCCACAGTCCATCATTCAGCTAAAGGTCTGTCTTTCTTTGACAGAAAGCAAACGGAAAATAATATTCACTACAAAGTTTGCATTGACTATTGGAAGAAACCATTTGATGGGTGGTGGCCTAGGCCAGTCATCAGGTGTTCTGGGAGGCTGAAGTAGGAGAAAAGAAAGGTTTAGGACCAGCGTGAGCAACTTAGCTAGACCTTGTCTCAAAATAATAAAGGCTGGACATAGAGCTCTGTGGGAATCCCCTAGGTTTAATCCCAGTATTCCATCCCTGACCCTGCTTTAAAAAGGAGAGACTATTTTTGTTACTCTTGAAGGGTGTCTGCGTTTTCAGCAAAGTTAGCGCATAGAAATTTGACTTAGGCATGGAGCCGAGACCCATAAAATCAGCACTCGGAAAGGCTGAGTGAGAATGATCACAGGCTCAGCCCAGGTTGGGAACAGAGAGCTCAGGTAGACGCAGCCTTTCCAAAAACAAGTGGTCAGTCTCAGAACTGCCCGCAAGGTGCCTCCCTGCCTCCCTGCCGCCCTCCTTCCTCTTTTTTCTTTCTTTCTTCTCTCTCTCTCTCTCTCTCTCTCTCTCTCTCTCTCTCTCTCTCTCTCTCTCTCTCTCTCTCTCTCTCCCTCCCTCTCTCTCTCTCTTTGTCTCTCCCCCCTCTCCCTATTTGTGTGCAGTTCAGGGGATGGAACCCAGGATCCCTTCATTCTTTGTGTTAAGCTACATCTCCAACCCTGTTCTGATTTTTATACTTTGAGATAGAGTCTAGCTATATTGCTAAACAGTCCAGCTTGACACTCTCCTGTCTCAGCCTCCTGGAGTGCTGCAACTTCAGGAATGGCTCACCAGGCTTCAGTGCAAGGTGCCTGCCTCTGATGGCTTCTGCCTTCCTGAGAACTTTCACATCCTCACTTGCTCTGCTCACTCCCCGCCCTCCCTCCCCACCTCACCCATCAGACTTTCAGCTCATGCCATGTCTCAGCCATCCCCAAGACCTTAGCATCCATCCCGCTTCTTTCTCTGTCCCCGTTCTCCTCTCCTCTCATCTGTCTGTCCCTCTTCAGCCCTGCTGCCTTCTTGCTCTGGAGCTGCTTCCAGCCGCCCCCTCCCGGCTGCTGCCCTGCTCTCCACTGCTCCAGGTCCCAAGATGCCACTCTGCAGCCTTCCAGCATCTGCCCTCAGCCCTTCCTCTCCCCCATCTATGGACAGCTCCGGCTCTCCTCTCATCTCCTTCCTCAGAAATTGCTCCCATATCGCCATTTCTCTTCAGTTGTTTCTATTTTTCTAGATTATCCTAAAATGCATATCGGCATTTAGGTTATGCAACAGAAGCCCCTGTGACTGGAATGGCAAAGGGACCCCCCTGGCCTGCGCTCCCTCCTCGCCTGGGCCATTCCCGGGCAGACAGACGCCTTTCCTTCATTTAGGATTTAGGGTGATCGTCCAGGACCCCACAGACTTTGCTTCCTTTTTCTCCCTGTGCCTTCAATCCCTTCCCCTCATTTGAGTCTCTGCTGCTTTTTGTGTGTTTGCTTTATGTACTGAAAAACAAGTCAGGACTCCCTTTCACAGCCAAGGAATTTAATCAAACAACCACGGCCCTGTGGGGAGGAAATGTCACCCGAAGGCAAACAAGCAAGACAGACAGGATCACACACGCACAGGGAGAACGGTGAGATGACAGTTCATCTTTATTTTCCATCCGTGAGAAATGCCTGGCTCTGTCCTGTGTGGAACACGAGGAGCACACGCGTTTCCTCTACACCCACCGCTCCTTCATGTGTCAGACTCAGGAGCCAACCCGCTCAATGTGTATATTTACAGGAGTTTGTGGGCCCGGCTCACAGCCCCCGGCTATGAGTACAATGTCTGCATAACTATAGTAATTAAGGTATAAACCTCTCTAAAAGACAAAGTATATATGTACAACCATCCATTAAAATTATCTATCAAAATAGTACAAGAATACGACTAAAAAAATCTCAATATTATATCAAATATACATAGTAACATTTCAATGGGCAAAATGTTTACAGCAAACTGATATGGCTTATACTATATACTAAAGAAATCTGCAACATGCCTATGGATCTGTCATTATATTTCAAATGATTTCCACTCAATAGGAGACTCTACAGGCCATCTTCAATGATTGTCCAGGTTACAGGGAACCAAATGTATAAAACAGCAGATATTCAACTTCTAATTCAAGGGAAGTTTGAATGAGGATTTGCAAGGCGCTGTAGAAAATCTCATCCCTTATGGTTCCACCTCCATGGGTTCCCAGCTCTCAGGCATATACGGTGATGAGTGTATTTCATTGCTTCCTGGGCCAGAGATCTGGAAGGCAGAGAAGAGACAAAGTCAGACCTATGGGGACAATTTTCTAGATGACAAGATGACACCCAAATGCCAAGCCCAACTATAGTCTGGACCAGCTCTATCTCTAGCACTTCATTCTTAGCCCCAATCCTGAGCCATCATTTCCCTTTGTGGTTTTCAGTGTTTTTGACTCACGTTCCAAAGATCACGTGAGATGGCTCAGGTTAGACCTAGCTCCCTCCTCATAGTGAGAGTGGTTCTTCTGAGGAACCTGACGGCCCCTGGGGAAGACAGCACATTATTTATGATGCCCTTAGTGCTGTCCATGCACTTAAGGTCTGGACTTCTGCCTGTGACATCACCATCACTAGTGTCAACACCGTGACAGAAGCCCAGGTGCTGAGCCTAATCCCAAGCCCCGGTGTCTCACTACATGCACATGATTTACAACAAATCCTTGCTTATTCCTCTACCCAAACACATACTGGAATGTGGCTATTGTAAGAAGTCACCATGAACCTAATCTTATTAACTTTCCATCATTCTGATAAACATCCACGACCTGATTCTTGAGGAGGAGATGTGTAACTACTGGAGAGCAGAAATTCGTGCATAAGTGGGAAAATGAGCTAGGAAACCTCCCAGTGCACTCTAGCACAAGCCACACATCTCCGTACAGCTGGGGATGCTCATGCAGTCAGGGATAATTCCCTTCCATGCCTGCACAGGCAGCGTGCTCCATCTGATAGCTTCTCCTTAAGCACTCATTTGTTATACATAAATCCCTCTGTTTCCTCTCCCTGAAGGACAAAAGGTGAAAATACAGCTCTGTCGAGAAATGGAAATTTATGGCTGGGCAATAGATGTTCACTCAGAACAAAAATCAGTCTCTCATCCACACTGCCCTGGACCCATTGCTCTGAGAGGAAGGATAGCTACTAAATCTGTGCCTCATGGACAATCCGCTGTTTATGAGGTCCGACTGAGCAGTGTCCCAGCACAAAGCTCATCTTTCCCAGGCCATGTGTGTCTGCTTGTCACGCTGGCTGGTGACTTTGGAGGGGACAGGGGGAGGCCAAAATTGTGCCTGGGCTAGGCTGGTTCCTGATGTAGAGACAGTGGACAGGGTGGGGATCATGAAAGGATCCCTGAATTGCCTACATAGACACCAGCGGTGCTGTCTGAGCACCAGGACACCCACCCACCTTCTTGAGGGCACTGTCCACAGGGTTCCAGGGTCCAGGGATGAGGGCGCGATCTCGGCTCCACACCCAGAGTGCAGGGTCATACGCTTGGATCTGGAAAGGAGAGCAGCCCCTGAGTGGATGAAGAGCTCAGGGACACCACCCGCATATCCAGTCTCCAGCTGCCCCTGGTCACACATGCCCAGGATCCCCCGTTCCTACGTCCCAGACCAGCCAGTCACCAGCCCCATCTCACTCACCTCCTCACACTCCTCTCGGGTCACCCTGAGGTTCCAGTCCATGTAGCAGATGAATTGGTAGCGCAGCTTGTGGAACTGGGGAACCTTTTTCAAATTCCAGGTGTAGAGAAACAATAAGATGGCTTGTTTAGGAATCTGGTCATCCTCCTCCATGTCATTGGCCAGGTATCTGGGAAGGAAAGCAGGCTGCTAGTCAGAGGCACAACCACTGGGCCCTGAGTCAGCTCCTGGAGAACAGGCGGGGCCCCTCCAGGCCAGGATGCCATCAGCCGGGCCCCGAGTTCCCGAGGACCAGGTGTGAGTGCAAAGGTGCAGCCTGCACAGGGCCCTTCTGAAGGCATCTCCAGGGAGGAGGACAGGAGCCCTGGGTAGAGCCTGAGGTGGCCTCCTGTCCCGTCACCAGCTGCAGCTGACATCTCCACCTCCCCACCTCCATCCTGTCTTTCCCTGCAGCTCGGCCTCTGTCTCCTGGCCCCGTGGGGAGCATCTGCACAGGCGACCTTGGTAAGTTTTTGTACTCTGCCCTCCTTTCCCCAGTGGCCAGCTCAGGGCGTGCATGGATTCCACCAGTGAGTTCTACATGTCCCTCCCCACTGCCAGGACCTCTGGCAGAGGACACGTGGCAGGTTTTGCTAAATGAAAGAAGGAAGAAAGAAAGGAGGAAGGAAGGAAGGAAGGAAGGAAGGAAGGAAGGAAGGAAGGAAGAAAGGAAGGAGAGGAGGCAGGCAGGGAGGCCAGCTCCACCTGTAGACAAAGGCCATGCAGAGCCCCTGGGGACTCAATGCTGCAGGAGAAACACTCACTGAATGAGAAGAACCGAGCTGCCCTTTAAGGATGTTCACAGGACCCAGCGCTCAGCAGCTGCATCCCTAAAGGTGATTAGGTGAGTGAGGGCAGATGAGGAACCAGGGCCCCAGATGTCCTGACAGCGGGACCTAGGACAGTGCTGCTGGAATGCAGAGGGAGGGATCCGGGAAGGATGGAGACACTGGCAGTTGTGTTTTGTTGGCAGGACTGGGGCTGAATGTGGGGTTTTATGGTTGACCAACATCTGCACTCCTTTTCTACAGTTTTCGTTCAGAAACAGGGTCTTGGCAGCTTCCTAATCTGACCACACCGTATTCTCCTGCCTCAGGCACCCAGAGGGCATTGATTATGGGAGTGCACAGCGATGCACCCCTCAGAGCATCCTGAATGGCTGAGAATACAAATGTGCACTGAAGATAGGCTGGGGATTTAGCTCAGTGGCATAAACACCTGCCTGGCAAGCGTGAGTTCAATCCCCATTAACACACACACACACACACACACACACACACACACACACACACAAAAAAAGAAAGAAACAAAGAAACAAAGAAAGAATGACAAGTGGACAGGAAACAGGAGTCACAGACAAGAGTATTTCACAGGAGCAGTGAAAGAAAGGAAGGAAATATTAGGATGATGAGCTGGCGTGGGTGTAGAGATTGTAGAGCGGGTGAGTTCCAGAGCACAGCTAGGCCTTGGTGTGCATGAAGTACTTAGCGATGCGGGAGCCACATGGCAAGCGGGCCTAGGACCCATCTCTGAAGGCTGATCAGGCAACACAGAGCCTGCTCCCTGGCTCCCAGAGAGACTTGTCAGAAGGACCAGCAGGGAGCACATTACATTCAGTGTGTGCCTGTCAGGAGGGCATGCATAGGCCATCAGTCTAGGAATCCAGAGGAGGGGACAAGGAGACGGTTGATATTGCTAAGGAAGGGAACCCTCAAAGGGTCAGAAATGCCTGCCCTCAGGCCTGAGGGCTGATGCCCGTATGTGAGTTCTTCCTGCCTCTGCAGTCAGGGGCCTCAGTTTCCCCTGGTGGCATGCTTTAACCAACGTGAGGGCAGACTGCAAGATTCCTAAGAGGAGCATGGGAGCACGCAGTGTGACGCCCCTGTGCTACAGTCAGCAGTACAGAGGTTTAACGCCAGAGGCCAGGTGAGAGTCCCCTCCCACCCTCTGGGCTGACCATGGCCTGTGGGGGGAGGCGCAGTACTCACAGCGCCAGGAAGAATTGGATTCTCTGGTACTTCCGGGGGAAGAGGCCGGCCCGGCTGAAGTAGGCGATGACCATGGCCAGGAGATACTGTTGAGAGAGAGAACAGTCAGCAGGCACAGCTGGAGGAGGGCTGTGGAAATATGGACTGGGAGGGGGGAGCAGGGCCCCAGTCAGGGAGAGGAGAGCCTAGTGTTGGGTGGCCTGGTCATTTTGGGGCAGTGAGAGATGGGTGGTTGTTAGTAAATGACAGCAGGAAGAAGAAGGGAGGCTATGAGGCCCAGGGTGTCACTTTAAGGGTGTCTTGGGGACAGGACACTGAAGTCACCTAGATCAGAGGGCATCTTGTAAGAGAGAGCGAATGGGTTCCCTGAGAGCCAAGGGGAGGGTTCAGAACTTTCACGTAGCCCCAGCCAGAGAGGCCATATGCAGGGAGACTCAAGTCCCAGAGGACCCAGGCAGAGCAGGGTGCTGTGCCCATCCAGCCTCTAGGCCAGCCAGGCCTGGAAGGGAGATGGTGCTGAGTCCTAAGGGGGACTGATGGTGGAGGCTGAGGTAGGAGTTCCTAGCAGGGACAGAGGAGTAACTGTGGGGCTGGAACCTGCCCTCCCTGGGCGGTGCCACCAAGAGAGCCCAGCTCAGGGGAGAAGGACCTCACCTTGTCAGAGGCCCTCAGGTTTTCATCCCAGGCTAGGAAGATCTTGATAACTGGATCCTCTGTGAAGAGAACACAGTGTTAGTTTGTTGCCCGGCTAGCTAGGAGTCCCTGGGAGTGGGAACACAGAACAGAGCCACAGTTGCCTGAGATGACCCCAGGGAGGAGGACATTGAATGGCCAGGGACCAGGGGCTCATCCTGGGACTGACAGGAGCAACTGTGGAGCCTGGGAAGCAAACCACATCCACCTAGTTAGGACCTCAGAGGGTCACAGGGGCCTCCCCAATACATAAATGCACCACTGCGGGAGTCAGTGGCATCCTGGTCATTTGCTCTGGTGATGGGCACAGCGGTGTGACAAGGACCTCGTCCCTGCTCTGGTGCTGCATGAATCCACTTCCATTCAGGAAAGTGAGCAGCTCCTCTCTATCAGGTGGGCTGGCTAGAACCATGCTTTGTGATGGGAACATTTGGGAACTAGTAGAAATCTGTTTTGAGGACTGCGCCTTCTCTGTCACCTGTGTGCCCCTGGGGAAGGATGACACTAGAGTCCTCCTAGAAGGCCAGCTCAGGGCTCAGTGAGATCCTTTCTACGGGTGAAGGAAGGGACAGGAAGTCACTCAGGCTCCTAAGAGCCGGGGGAGAGGTGCTGTGTGGAGTCTCCTTACCGAGCAGCCGAGTGAAGGCCTCGTGGTACACAGGCAGCACTGAGCACAGGTGCTTCCTCTTCATCTTCCTCTTCAGGCCACAGGGCATCTCCATGTCACCTAGGTGGGTCAAAGGCTCAGGGCGTAGGCATCGCAATGACTCTTGCTGCTCCTTTTCCATCAGGGACAGATACTCCCTCCACCTCTTGCGAGGTGGGAGCCTGATGCCTTCCTGTGGGGCTGCATCAGAGCACCAGCGGCCCCCCCTCTGCTCCTCCTTGGCCTCTGAGGAGCACTCCCTCTTCCACTTGTGGCCAGGGGACCGAGGTGAGAGGCTGGGGTTCCCCCTCAAGGCTGAAGCAGAATCCCCCTGATGACCCTCCTCCTTCTCTTCCTTCTCTGATTCTGATTTGGAAGAGGATGCATCCTGCTCTTCCTTTTTGATAGGTAACTCAGGCAGGAGGAAGGGTGTTGGCCTGGGGGCTCCTCTGAGGAGACTTCCTAGGTCCTCCTGCTGCTGCTCCCCAGATTCTGAGGAGCAATCTCTCTTCCTCTTCTGTGGACAGGCCCAAGATAGGGGGCTGAGTGCTACCAACAGACCTGAGGAAAGAAACCCAGATCCAGTGTGAAGCATCGTCTTTGGAATTCAGCCTTTGACCATGTGTTCTGGTTTGTACCTCGATGTCCCCCAAAGCTTTAAGTGGTCATAGAGGGGAGATTTGAAGGTGATGATTAGGGTGTGTGAAGGTGGATTAAGGCTGTGATGTTGGGTGCCCCACCCTGGGTATGGGTGACACCAATCAGTAGATTTGCAGCCTGGATGGAGTATAAAGGGACAGAAAGAGGGCAGACTTGCTGTTGTGGCTGCTGCTGCTTGGCTGGTGGCTGCTTCCTGCCTGCCCTGCGATGCCCCTTTGCCATACACCCTGCTGGGAAGCCAGGCAATGAGCTGAAGGAAACCTTTCTTTAACTTTGGGGGTCCGGTATTGTCTCAGCAACCATGTCACCCCAAATCCCTCCTTGGAAGTAAACCCCAAAGTTCCTCCACAGTTGCCCCCTCCAATGCCCTGCGATCTCCATCTGGCCCATTCTTCTTGCCACTGTCCCCTCACCCTGTGCTTACAAAGTTTTCCTCACGCAGACGCTTTCCTCATCAAGGAGGGACCTGAGCCACCTCCTCCTCCCCTGCTCATTCTTGGCTCTCATCTCCTGACCCCTTTCCAGCTCCCCAGCTTTTCCATTCATCGGCCTTAGTCTCAGTTTCTTTTCTTGTTGCTGAGACACCCACAGTGAAAGGAGGCAAGTTTTATTCTGGCTCAGTTTGTAATAGCTGGCTCCAGGGCACAATGGCTCGGCAGAGGGGCATCACAGAGGAGAACCAGCTTGTGGCGTGGCAGAAGCAGCAAAGCTGTGAAGTCCCAAGCAGCAAGCGACCAGCACCAGCCTCTTTCTGTGCCTTATATTTTACCCACGGTGAAGCACCTGAATCCTACCCAGAACTATGCTCAGCACCAATCAGTGGACTGAGTTAGTGATCACACACCCTCGATCCCAGCATCACTCTCTAGATCCAGCCACTCTGAAAAGCCCCACTATGGCTGCATGAGGCTTTGGGGGACATCTAGACAGGAGCCCATACAGCCATCCTTGTCCTGTTTCCTGTCCTTCCTCTCTCCTGTCCTTGCCTTCTTTAGTGCCTCCTTCCTTGTCACCCGTCCCTCTTACTGGTCACCTTCTCGGACCTCTCCTGACTCCAGCCCCCTCACCTGATTGCCCTGGGATCTCATCATCCACCACCACCACCTCAGGGTGTACCCAGGAGAGACAGGCTGGGGACTCTGGTCCTCACACGGGCAGGATAGAGGCTGGTGGCCATGAGTTCTCCCAAACACCACCTTCCCTCCACAGAACAGACTCTGAGCTGCCTGCACCCCGCTTCTCTAATTCAACTGAACCTAAGCCAATGCTGCTTCTCCAGAGAGGACACAAGTGGAGACCATCTCTGAGAAGCAGCTCTTGCCCCTGGCATGCCAACACCCACAAGCTTTGAACCCGCTCATGAGGGAGATCAGAAGCCCCTGAGGTGATCATGGGTGCCAATCTGGTAACCAGTTTGAAGGAAAACACACCTGGTTACCAGACTGCAAATGGAGGACTCAAACTGTCAATCACCCTGGTTTCCACTGAGGGCCTCTGATTTCCTGTCTCTCTTCTCAGCAGATACTGTATGTGTCCACCATGCACTCTGAACATATGTGATCCTCTGACCCTCTGTGCTTTCCCTTCTGAAAACATAGACTGGTAGAGAAGGGAGCAGAGTTGGCAGGAATTTTGGGAGTTCAAAAACAATAGGACCTCAAGAGCAGGGCCTGAGTACGGACAAAAATCCTGGTCACATTGACTTTCTAACTGGAAAATTTCAGTCAAAACACTCAGTTTATCCAAGCTTTTCTGCCCAATGTTCACTGCCCCTTTCTACCTTTAGGAATCTGTTTTGGAGACACATATCCTCTCCCATCTGGTACCTTTGTGTCCAGGAGAATTCATGCTTGGGTCAGACATGGTTGGGCAGACCTAGAATTCCAGCAGTTGGCAGGCTGAATCAGAAGGGTTGCTGCGAGTTCAAAGCCTGGACTACTTAGCACGATCCTGTCCAAAAAAAAAATATTAGTGCTTAGTAGAGAAACAAATTTAACGCATGATATACATACATTATATATATTTTCATATATGAATTTATAAAAATTGACTTACAGTGGTCACCCAGAGCCTGGCATTGAAGAGTGGGAAGGATCCAGGTAAAGGTCCGGGCCTTAGCGTGGTGTCTCACAGAAGTCTGGATCCGGAGGTTGAAAAGTGAGCAGTCGAACTGAAGAGGTAACTAGAGGTCGTCTGAGGAGTAGGAGGAAAGCCGCCTTTTATCCCATTCCTGGGCTAGCCCTACCTAGAGTGGGATTACAGCCCTCCCTAGGGCGGGGGGGCTTAGAAACCTCCCTAGGGTGGGTCACAACCCTTTCCTAGGACGGAGTGGGGTCACAACCCTCCTCAAGGGTGGGTTACAACCCTTTACTAGGATGGAGTGCAGTCACAACCCTCCTTAAGGGTGGGGTTACAACCCTCCTAGGGTGGGTTACAATCCTCCCTAGGTTGGGGGGTTACAGCCCTCCCTAAGGTGGGTTACAACCCTCCTAGCGCGGGGGTTACAACCCTCCAGGGAGGAGGGTGTCACAACCCTCCCTAGGGTGGGTCTTCCATGCCCAGAACTGTGCTAATCCATGAAGCTGAGTACTTTTTACTCAAATTGACACAATCAGTTACCTATTACAAAGAGATTTCTCAAGCAGCCCAAATCAAGGCCCACACCCACACACTTCCACTGGTGCCTATAATTCTGAGGTGTCTAGTGATAATTAACTAAGAAATTATGTGATAATTAACTAAATAAGAAAAGCCCAACTACATTGGATCAGTGTAGTTCTGGGTGTGGCTGAAGGGATCTGCTGGAGAGAAGCCCCACCCTAGGTGTGAGTGACAGCAACCAATAGGCTTGCTGCCTAAATGCAACAAAAGGGAAAGGAAGAAAGAAAGCTCCCACCTGTTTCTGGAGGTGCCCAGTCTTCCCCTTCTCCTTAGATGTTGTCTCCTGGCTTCCATTCCAGACCCTTCAACCTCCTGAGATGGACTTGCTTGGGATACTACAGTGAGCTGCGGGCCTTCACCCGGCTCCTTTTGAGCTCCCATGCACAAACAGCCCTTTTGCATTTTGCCACATCTGACTCTGTGGGTGGTCATTTTAAGCCCCTCACCCCCCATTTTTTTTTTACTTTTGTGACAAGTTCTCACTACGTAGCCCAGACTCCACTGGATCTCATGGTGATCCTACTGCCTTGCAAGTGCTGGATTTAAGGGCGTGGACCTCCATGTTTGGCTAAGCCAACCTTGTAAATCCTCACATACTTATATATCTTGTATTAAATCCCTTTCTCTAATAAGCATTGATTGATACAGAATTGGGTATCAGACATTACTCTGGAGAAATAGAACTGTAAAGATGAAGTTCTTTAATGGCTATAGTACTTCCTCGAGTTTGCTTGCTACTTTGATGGGGTCTAAAATGTCATTTAAATCTCCTTCTGATACTGAGAAATTCTGAAGTCCCTGGTGCGAACTATTTAAAGTAATATATAATGCAGGTCTATTTGATTATCCTAACTCACCACTTGTGAGATGTAAGGAATTTAGTAACTCTCTAAAAGATAATTTTGAGTATTTACCAAGTAACTCAGAAAATAGCTAGTTTTAAGTTGGACTCAATAAAAGAAGGCTCTGTAACAGGTTCAGGGTTGTACAGGATGCTCTGTCAATAAAGCCATATGATCCATCAGAATCTATTGTTCTTGAAGTGTCAGATGCGGGTGGAGATGCTATTTGGAGTCTCTGGCAGGCTCTCACAGGTGAATTGAAGTGGAGGTCTTTTGGGTTTTGGAGCAAGGCTCTGCCATCCTTTGTAGACAACCACTCTCCCTTTGAAAAACAGCTCTTGGGCAGCTTCTGGTCCTTGGTGGAAACTGAACCCTTGAGAACAAGACAGTAGGTTACTACGAGACCTGAGTTCCCCATCACAAGCTGGTGATTATCTGATCCACCAAGTCATAAAGTTGGACCTACACAGCCACAGTCCATCATTAAATGGAAGTGATACATACGTTATTGAGCCAGAGCAACTTCAGAGAGCACAAGTTACATGAAGAAGTTACCCAGATGCCCATGGCTCCTACTCCTAATATATTGCCATCTGTCTCCCAGCATGCAACTGTGGCCTTATGGGGTGTACCATAGGATCAACTGTCAGAGGAAGAGAAGGTTAGGGCCTGGCTAAAGGATGGTTCCGCACAGTATGCAGACACCGCCCACAAGTGCACAGCCGCAGCCTGCCAGCTCCTTCCCGGAACTCCCCTGAATGACAGTGGAAAAGGGGAATTCTTCATGGAGAGAAGAACATTGGATAGTGCACTTTGCAGTGCATCTTTCCTGGAAAGAAAAATGGCCAGATGTGTAACTATACTGATTCATGGGCTGTAGCCAATCTGGCTGAATGATCAGGAACTTGGAAGGTATATTATCGGAAATCTGGTGACAAAAGATATTTGGGGAAGAGGTATGTTGATGGACCTCACCAAATGGGTAAGGGATGGAAAAATGTTTATATCCCATGTAAATGCTTACCAAAAAGTGACCTCAGTAGTAGAGAACTTTAACAGTCAAGTGCGTAGGATGACCCATTTTGTACATAGCGGTCAACCTCTTTCTTCAGCCACCACTGTCATGGCCCAGTGAACTCATGAACAGTGTGGCTATGGTGGCAAGGACAGAGGGTTATTCATGGGGATAATAAGGTGAAGTCCTACTCACAGGCTGCTGAATACCCAATATTCCCGCAGCAGAAAGAAACACTCAGTGCCTGTCTCATTCTGTAGCAGTTTTCAGAGATAATCATATGTTTTAGCCTAATAAATGATGTGCTGTTCCTGTGACCTGCATCACAGAGCATATAGAGCAAATGTGGAACTTACAGCCGGTGCTTCTCCTGGGAATATGATTCCAGTGCTATGGTTAGTAACAGCATGTGATTAAAAGGAAATAAAGCACAATTCTGCAGAAATGATAGTACAATTAGAATAACAGAGCTCAGAATATCACTGCCTTCCACCCTTTTAAATTTGGGCCATTATTCCTTTCTTTGTACTAAGAGAGGTAGAAAATAACATCACATGTACATGACCTTCAGTCACTTCTGAACCCTACTCAAAACTTAATGATATATATATATATAATAAATGCAATTGAGATCTGAGTAAATTTGAGACTTGCATGCATGTTTAGAGTCACTGAGATGACACAGCACCCTGTTAATGATTCTTAACCATACCTTGGGCCAGGATATATATCCTTTAAATTCCCAAAGCCTGATTTGTCTTTTCACAGCAGTGTGCTGAGTTGTGCATGTAAAGTGTTTTTTGCTTTTTATATCTTCCCCACCTCATTTTTCTGGTTATACCATATTTTTTGGTGGTAAGACTTGCTCTGAGCATAACTCCCCATAAGCTTAAATAAATTCAGCAGCTTTCCACTTGCCATTGGGTTTGTGCCTGCCCTGCAGTTCATTGCTCATCCTACACAAAAGCCTGACCTTTACCTGCTGAATTCATCACACCACCGCTGTGATATATTATAAAATAAGTGCATTTCCCCATTGTTTGATAGTTGCTCAAGGTTAACTCAAATTTGTCTTCTGGTGGTTGCCTCCAGAACACTCCAAGTACACCCAAATAATTTTTGGAAATCCAGAAGGGGAAAATGTACAATAGAAGTGAGACAGGAAATTAGGGCATGGTAATGTGCCTGGGGAAATAGATGTGACCTATAAATCACAAAATCCCGGGATACATGTGCAGAGCAGTTCCCAAATTCCTGCTCATGGATTTCTCATGAGAACTCTTGCAGGTTTTCCATAAGATGGCTTAGACCTGATGGCAGGATGAGGAGTGGGTAATATGTAAAGGACAGACCACAAGAGTTTTCACCATTGTGTTTGCTCTCATGCTTGGCCCGCCCTCATGCTGTAGGCTACATTTTTCCTGCCTACATGTGGCCTAAACTTGCTAGGCAGAACCTATTTCTTTTCATATCTTTAATAAAATTTTGCTAACAGTGGGACTAATCTTGACCAATTCCTTGCTCAAGACAAAACTTAGAAACTACCTCTAAAGGACTCCAGTACTCCAAAATCCATACAAAAGCTCAGGGACCCTGATCAGTTTCACTCAGCTATGAGAATACAGTAGAACTAAAGTTACAGAGGCTGTTCTGATCTTATCAGTGGGTTTCTTTGGAGGTAATATGGCAATGTATCCTAAATATTATGTCAGCTCTATATAGCATCAGTGAATTGATGCAAATAAAACAGCAGAGATGCTGGGGAATGTGGCTCAGTGGAAGAGCACTTGCCTAGCTGTGTTTGAGCCCCAATACTTTTAATAAATGACTGAAAGTCAAATGCAACTGGTTGCCAAAAGGGAAAGGGAACTTTTCTCCTCTTTTAAACAGCATTTATTTGAGAAAACTCATAGAAAAACTTTCTGTGTCTTCGATTCATATTCAGGTCACTTAAAAGAGCTATACAAGCGTCTTGTGAACATTAGAAATCAGGAATTTTTTCCCTGGAACTAGCTCTCTGATTGGTAAACCTTAGGGGAAGAGTAGCACCCCTCTTTCCTGTGGTCTTGGAGCTTCATCCTGGCACCTTGATCTCGACTGTAGATGCTTGCTTGTCATACAGAGAAGTTTTGCTTTTCCTCTAGATAAAAGTAATGAACTCGCACTGACAGTCACCTGGTCCAATCACTTTCTGGAGGAACCATGCAGAATGCAGAGCCAATGGGAGTCCGGTGCTTTCACCCAGGATGAGCTGCCCTTTAACCTGAGACCTGATGCGTACCTTAGTGATTGGCCTGTCTCACTTGGTGCTTATTCCACAATGAAACTATTTTCTGCATTGTCTGCATTCTTGCAAAGAATTTTTTAAGTTGGTGGCATAAATATTATTAATCTTCTTTATTACCTCTACTACCACCAGCTGTGAAGAAATCACTGGGGAACATTGATGTATTATTTCAGCTTCAAAACAAAGTGGTTAATCATTGGCTGCGTGATCTATGTATGCTACTATTTTTTATTTTTATTTTCATCCTTGGAAAGCACAGCTGAGCATTTGAGGTACACGGGTACTGCCTGCTCCTCAGAATCTGGGTTCTGACCATGGAGTCGCAGGCCTGGAGAGGACTTGGGTTTCAGGATGCATCCAGGCAGTGGCTTCCATACAGCCAGAGGCTGCAGGGAAATGCAAACTAATGCAGGGTTCTGGGGACCCTTGCTCACATGCCAACGCCCCTGTATTTCTGGAGCAGGTAAAAGACCCTATAGGGGTTCTTAATCCTGGTGGTTTTTTGGAAATTGCATCCCAGTACTCTACCAGGAATTTGGCGCGATCCTGGAACGCGAACTTCCGGCGCGCTTCTGCGCATGTGTACTTCGCGCCCTTCTGTACTCCACGCATGCGCATCGTCTCCTGTTGGCGCTCGCTTCCGGTGCGTCGCAAGTGCCCGCTCCTGTGGCTGCTGGCCTTTGGCCTCTCTGGCGCTATTCGCGGAGCCGGTGCCGCCGGCGACACCAGCGAAGCGGCACCAGGCGGGCACTAGCTGTGCGATCTAGAGTCTGTGTTGCTGGGCGAAGGCCCCAGTGGGACCGAAGCGCTAGCACCGAGCCTGCGGTGGAGAGCGGAGGGGCCGGGCGGCGGTGACTGCACCTGGCGCGGCGTGCAGCGACCTCGGCGGCCAGGCGCTCTGCGGGACGGTGAGTCCCAGGGGCAGATTGGGGTCCCGACTTGGGTCCTTGGAAGTAGCGGCTCGGGCGAGGGGACGGAGGCGGCCGGCTCAGCCCCACCGGATCCCTCAGGGGCTGCGCGGCCTGGGCCTAAAGGGGTGGGAAGGGGCACCACCTCCGGGTGAGGTCGGGAGCGCGAGGGCCGTGGGAGAGTGTGGAGGCCCCCGGGAGAGCCGGCCGATCGAGGGAGCGTAGGCTGGCTGCGCCGGCCGAGGCACTCCGCCGGCGGATCTGCGGCTTTGTGTCCCGCGGAGGCAGCGTCCCTGGCTCCGCTGCGAGTGTCGCTCTGCAGCCCTCCCTTCGCACCCCGGGACCCGTTCCACCTCCACTCCCCGCTCGAGATTCTTCCAGCGTGTCTGTGGGTGACCGTCAGACCCCAACTCTGTCGGCTGAGTCTGCTCAGGTGTGCCCTTGTAGACTCAGTGCAGCGCTGACACGTCTCTTGTTTTGTTGGTAGGTAGATGAAGAGGGTAAGCCTGAGCAGGTGGGTTTCCTGGCAGGACTGTTCTGATAGGACTCAAACTCTCAGGCCAGTGTTCGCCAATGTGTTGAAGTTTTTAACGTGCAGCAGTCGCCTCTTTCAGTCAGATAATATAAAAGCAAAACCCTGCCTACGCGCAGAGATCCACTTTCGAGCGCTGAAGTGCTGAATTGCTATGAATACATAGAGTTTTAACTGACTTAAAAATACAATAGAAAATGTATGAGCCGAGTGGGTGGTAACTTTCTTTCGTTTTCCTTTCCTTTTCTCGCTCTTTTTCCATCCCTCTTTGCCTCTCCCTCCCTCTTCTCCTTTCCTCCACTGCTGTCTTGTTTCCCTGTCCGTGTATTAAATGGGGGCCAAATGAGAAAGCAATGTTTGTATCCCCCATTGAGATTCTAACCCGTCTAAACACCGTGCGAGTGAGTGTTGGTATTAACAGTGCGTGCTTCTTCTCTGTCACCAGTTTTGTCCAGTTTTGTCCCTCCAGTAGTTTGCACTGAGTGTGATTTCATTTGGTGGCTCCCTTGCAGGAGATTCCTGCCTGTGCCTGCCAGATAACTCCAGACATCTGTGACCTTCTTTTCCCTCCCTAAAGTCCACCAGCAACAGTCATCCATTTTCCCAAGAACAGCAGAAAATGTACAGGCTTCAGGTGAGTTTTCCTGGCTGCGTCTGTTTTCTTCTTCATGCCTCTATTACGTGTTTCAGGAGTTTTCTAAAACGCTGACTTTAAAACAAAAATGCAGGGATAAAAGACATCATGTAGAATCCAGTTAGAGTGGCAGATGGACCTTGAGAATTTTTTTTTTTTTTTTTTTTTTTATCTAAAGGTCTGTCTTTCCTTGACAGAAAGCAAAAGGAAAATAATATTTACTACAAAGTTTGCATTGACTATTGGAAGAAACCATTTCTTTCTTTTTTTTTTTTTTTGTCGTTCTCATTTTTATCGGTACCAGGGATCGAACTCATGACCACCTGCTTGCAAGGCAGGTGCTTATGCCGCTGAGCTAAATCCCCAGCCCCTGGAAGAAACCATTTGATGGGTGGTGGCCTAGGCCAGTCATCAGGTGTTCTGGGAGGCTGAAGTAGGAGAAATGAAAAGTTTAGGTCCATCGTGAGCAACTTAGCTAGAGTCTCAAAATAAAAAAGCTGGGCATAGAGCCCTGTGGGAATCCCCTAGGTTTAATCCTAGTATTCCATCCCTGCCCCTGCTTTAAAAAGGAGGATTTTGTTACTCTTTTATTTTAAACATTTCCTAGAAAAAATTCTGTGTTGAAGTTATAAAAATTGTGATAGCTTTGCCAGTATCTAAAATCTATAGATCATTGCACTGCATGGCTTCCTTGTTGTGAATTTAATGGTGGGTTAGCTGCCCCAGAAGAACTTACTACATACCATTTTTCCAGTTACCAAAATGTGAACAAAGTAGACTTTGCAGGGGTCGGGAGGGACAGGGTCTCGTTTGGTAGCTAAGAGTGGTCTTGAACTCACTATGTAGCCCAGGTTGTCCTTGAACTTGTGGAAACCTCCTGCCTAAGCCTATCTAGTACTGAGATTACAGTCTTGGGCTGTCACCCTTGGCTAATACCATTCTTTTAAAATATATAGTTGACATTTCAAGTTTACAGTTTCTAAAATTTTGGAGTATATTCTCTTCTGTCAGGATACAAATAGAGTCTATGTTTTGCAGTTAACCATAGTAGCCTGAATAATGTCTCTATTATTATTTTGCCCCCAACGCTTGACTTTTCTTTGTGAGATATTTAACCTAGGGCCTTTGCACTGAGCGGCATCCCCAGCCCTTTTTTAGTTTCTATTTTGATACAGACTCTCAGTGACTATCTAGGTTACCCATGCTGAGGTTGAGCTTGTGATCCTGCTGCCTCAGACTGCCAGAGTATAGGTATTACAGATCTGGCCTGCCAGTTATTTTTGAGGACATTGCGATGTTTGTCTTTAGTTTCTCAATTTAGAGTGCATTGCCATCATTTTAACCTTTTTGTTGTTGTTGTTTTGTTTTTTAACTTCAATTATGCCTTGTAAAATTGGTTTTCCAGTCTAGAAATTTAATAAGGTTTATGTCCAGTCCTTTGTCAAGACTGCTGTACATGGCATTTGTGCACATAGGGAGCATATTCTGTATCTTTGTGTCTTTATTTTTGTGGATGATTATTACAGTGATCCCTTGATCGGGGAGGCAGAACAGTATTCATAATGGAAGTAATGTACCATTTCGTCTTCATTTATTTGCTGGGATAAATTCTTAAAAGTAAATTCCATTTTGGTTGCATAGTTCACACTGGAAAAACAGTTTTCAAAATGTCTAGTATCTGTGGTTTGTTTTGGTGTGTTTTTTTTTCTTTTTCTTTTTTTAGAGATAGGGTCTTGCTGTATTGTTTAGCCTGGGCTTGACTATGCAGTAGTCCTCCTGCCTAAGCCTCCCTAATGCTGGGATTACAGGTGTGTGCCATCACACTCAGCCAAAATCTTTCTTGCATCTTAAAACATTGAAGTTGTGATTCTTTTTGACATTTAAGTAGTTCCATTTTTGGCCAGGGAAAATCCCTTAAAGTTGGATTCTGAGTCCTTTTGAAATACTTCATATTGTATTCGATTGCATTAATTTTTTTTAAAAAAAGTTGTTTTGAAATAATTTCAGATTTTTAGGAAAGTTGCAAAGTATTTTACACAGAAATATCATTTTCCTTTTGCCCAGATGCTGTAATCGCCACATTTTCTTTATAAATCACCTGTGTCTGACATGCACATTTACTACATTTACATTACACACATATTTTCTTTTCCTTTTGAAAAGAAAATATTGGAGAGTGGGTGTTACTTGTCATGCTTCTTTAACCTGTTATTTCAATATTTCAGATTGAACTTAAAACCATGGAGGATACTCTTTTATATATCCATCACATAGTTACTAAATTCAGGAAATTTTAAATTAGTACAATACATGAAACTATAGTTCACTTTCCAGTTTCCTAGAAATTTGTTGCTATGTCTTTATCTCTTATAGAACATACATTCTAGGATTGTGAATTGCATTTAGCTTTTTTTTTTTTTTAAGGTCTGCTTAATGTGAAATAATTTCTCAGTGTTGTTACACTGTTTGAATGTGGTTTTTTTTTTCTTTTTTAGACAGGGTTTCTGTGCAGTTCAGACTGGCCTTGAGCTCAGTTTGTAGCCCAGGCTGGTCTCAGACTTGCAAGAATCCTCCTGCCTCAGCCTCCCGGGTGCTGGGATTACAGGGGTGAGCCACCATGCCCGGCTCATTGAATGTGGTTTTCTTATTGTTGGTTTTTGAAACAGGTTTTGCTATGTAGTCCAGGCTGTAGTCCAGGCCTTGAACTTGAGGTGACCCTCCTCCGTCAGCCACCTGAGTCCTGGGTACGCACTACGCCTACTCTTGGGGAGATTTTGACCGTTATTTCTTCAAATCCCCTAGTCTCCAGCTTAATCTGTTTCTTTCACCTTTGTATTAGGCTGCTTGAAATTGTACACAGTTCACTATGGACACAGTTCACTTTCAATTATCTTTTCTTCCAGTTTCATTTAATGTACTGTCTTTGCGGCAACTTCATATTCAGTTTGAAACTTCTTGCCTGACTCTACTGAAGTATTTTGGATTTAGGAAATACAGTTTCAGACTTTCAGTGTTCTCTGTTAACTGTGTCCATTCTTAACCACTTTCACTTGATTGGCTATTTTCTTCCTCTTGGAAGATTGAATCTTTCTTCCTTTTTTTTTTGTACTGGGAATCAAACTCATGACCTTGGGCTTGCCAGGCAGGTGCTTATGCCTGCTGAGCTAAGTCCCGGCCTCTTGGGTCATATTTACTGTCCTATTTTTCTCAAACCCTCAAATCTTTCTCTTCACCTCTGACTCTTGTTCATGGCCTGGAAACTTTGGAGCAGTAGCTAAGGGGCTAATCTAGTTTTCCATCTCATAGGTTACTGTCTTTCACTGCCTGATGGTTAGTGTTCCTGAAAAACCAGTACTTTGTGTATGTGTGTGTTTGTGTTTGTTCCTGGTCATAACTGAAAGCAGAAGTCTCAGATGTTTCAATGCAGTGGACCTCATTCATGAATTCAGTTTGTTCCGAAATTTTGGGAAAGATAGCCACATTTGTGTTCGTGTGGGAAAGACGGCTGTGGCCGTGTTTGTTGCCTGATGTAGTATATACAAAGAAAAACAAAATTTTGCCAAATACTTTTGTTTGTGAACCACACTGTTCACAAGTAAAAGTGTTTATGAATCAAGGGTCCATTGTATTTCATACGCATGAGTCACTGTTGGAAGTCCTTTCCTCACGTCAAGGTTATAGAACCAATCACCTGTTCTTCATCTGTGTGGTTGGACTTCTCTCTTTTGTGGTATGAGGTACGAGTGCCGTTTGTGCCCGTTTAGGTGTTCATCTCCTGCTCTTGCAGCATTGGTGTTAACTTTGCCTTGGGACAGTGACACAGCATCAGCAGCAGCAGGCTCTAAGCGGAAAGGTGTGTTTAGCTGACAGTCAGGAGGTTGAAAGGTGTGATGCTGACAGCGGCTCTGTTCCTGCTGTCATGTCACACTAGTGGTGCACGTATGTGAGAGGGTACGTCACCAAACAGGAACTCGGAGGCGCTGGTGTTCCATACGCCCTTCTGTCTTGTTTTGTTTGTTTTGTTTTGTGAGGTAGGGTCTTAATATGTAGTTGAGGTTGGCCTTAGACTCACTGTAGGTTGGCCTCAAAGTTACTGTGATCCTCCTGCCTCAGCCTCACTAGTGCTAGGATTACAGGTTGTGCCACCATACCAGCTCCCACAGTCCCACCTGAAGACACGCTCCAGATGATCCAAGGACCCTTCACTAGGTCCCATCCTCTCAACAGTGCCACCGTCTCCTAACAGTGCTATCCTAGGAACCAAAATTTCAATCCCAATGGACTCTTGACTGACACTTAGATCACACCCAACACATAGCACCATTTGCTAAAAATCAGTTTTGCTTCAGTGATGTGGCATGTCCCATCATCATAGAATCCTAGAAGTCTGTTCTAGATGTACCAGGTTGTCTCTGTGTGTGTGTGTGTGCCAGTACCCAATTTCTTTATTTTGGGGGGACGAGTGCTGAAATTGAATGTAGGGTGGGATACATGTAAGTGACTTAGGATATGGGATGTCTTTGTGTTGTTGATCTTCCCAAGATGAAGAAATGTTACATTTGTTTCCATGTTTTAATGTTTTCTTGGTAGAGATTTTGTACATTTCATGTTGTTTTATCTTTCTAAGCCTTGTGTAACTTGAATTATGAAATCTACTGATTTGTGTTAATTTTATATCCTAAAACCTTAAACTTTAAAATTTAAATTTTATTTTTTTTGAGACAGGCTCTGGCCTTGTAGTCCAGGCTGGTCTTGAATTTATAGTGATCTCCTGCCTCAGCTTTCTGAAGCTGAGATTACAGGTGTGTGACACCATGCCCAGCTGTTAAAATTCTTTGGTGAAATTAGTTTCATCATGAGTTATCTGAGTTTTACTAACATCAGCAAATAGAAAGTGCTTTTTCTTTTATCAATCAGATTTCTCTAGTTTTTTTCTCATCTCTATAATTAGAGATGTGGTACATTTTACCTTGTTGGGATTTTAGCGAGAATGTGTGTAGTGGTTTTTCCATTTCCTGACGTCAGAACTGAGAGAAATGAGACCTGAGTATGTATGCGTGTGAATATTTGTGTAAACTCAACATGTGCTTCAGTATGTACCTGCCTGTGGGTGAGATACATAAGGATCATGTATATAGGCGTGTACACAGCACACATACTGGATATAGTAAGGTATAAGAAAGTGTGCATATGTGTATACTGAAGTGTCCATCACTTATTTTCTTGTGTTCCTTTAAAAATCAAGTATGCTGGGCTAGAGGTGTAGCTTAGTGCTGGAATACTTGCCTAGAATGCACAGGGTTCTAGATTTAACCTCCAGTATCATAAAAAAGAAAAAGAAGAATAAAAAGAAAATACTGGGTACGCATTTTGAATATCATCAGGCTTTGCCAGTTTCTTGGAAATGTGTCGTCTTCTTTCCTGTATCATAATGGGTTGTTATACTTACAGCTTTCTAAATATTAAATTAATCTGTTAAGTCCTGTTCAGCTACTACTGTGCATTCTGTTTTCAGTCTAGTATTGCGTTTTGTCTGCTAGTATTCTATTTGGGCCATTTATTTTGACATAAATAATATTGGCATGTGATTTCATATGATTTGGTAAGCAGTCTTCTAAGGCCTACAATGCCTCGGTTTCTGGGCTCCCTTAGCCCAGTTCTTCCTTTCCATGGACAAGTTTCTCAGCTTGCTTCTGGTCTGTGGATGGTCATGTATGTTCTGCTTAAGGCTGCAGCTGTATCTTTGCTGTCCCGAGGAGTCTCACTTAGGGCTGTGTGCAGTTGTGTCCAGCAGTGGTGCGTCCTGCATGGCTAACAGTATGCCGTAGCACAGTTGTTGAGCATAACCTACAGGGCGAACGTCTGCAACACCAGAATCTGCTCCCTGCAGCAGCACTGAAAGCCCCATCTTGCTGATGTTTCACCATGGTCTGAGAATTGTACAGAAACCATTTTCTTAGGTGACAAATTACTTTGATTTTCTAAAGTGACTTTCTGTTGTCATTATGCATAAATATGATCTTGTCTTGGTATATAGTTTAGGTTCTAAATCTCCTTTCAAAGTTGTTGGCAAGCTTTCATTTTTTTCTATCAGATAGGAAATTTAATGTTAGTTTGCAGAGTGAATAGTGGTCCCCCCCTCCCCATTTTAACATTTTAGGTCTTGTTTGCAAATGAGAAGGCCATTTTGGAGGTGAAGGCTTCCATGTATCTTTAGCCCAGGTGTCATTTGCAAGTCATCTTCTGATTATTTTTTTGTTCAGCCTCTACGTTCTCTATTTCTGAGTTGAATTTGTTGGGTCTGACTTTATGTCCTAAATTTGCTTTGATCATTTCCATTTCTTATTTGCTAGGAGACCTCCTATAATAATTCTGTGTCCCATTTGTTAACCAAGCTTGTTGAGGACTTTTAGAAAAATTCTACATTGCAGTCTGATTTTTAAGTATTTTCTGATGGCCGTTTCTCTGCACAGTGTTCTATTTTCTGAAGCAATAGCTTGCTGGGTTTTTTGGTTTTTTTTTTTTTTTTTATTAGTACATGTTTATAGTGCATAATGCACTACATTCCTTTTGGAAAGTTAATAACACAATAACATCTTAATGCCTTCTTTCATGCCCTTTTCCTTCCCTTCCTTCTTCATCTATCTCTTGATTTCTTTCCTTTTTACTTTCTTTTTTTTTCTGTACACGTTTGTAGTACATAATGTTTATATTTCTTGTGTGGAGCTGGTACATGTACAGAACACATCTTAATTCTTTTTATGTTTCCTTTCCCTCCCTCCCTCCATCTCTTGGTCTGTTTTGTAAAAGACTCCTCTCCCTGTTTACTCTTATCTGTCTGTTATTGTGCTCTTTATTTATACTTTGGGCTTTCCTTATAAACAGAACCATTGAAGTATTTCTCAAAACGTATCCATTTCCCTACAAATGACTCAAGTTTATCTTTACGGCAGAGTAGTACTTCATTGTGTATAAATACTACATACTCTTTTCCATTCTTCTGTTGATGGGCATACAGGCCACTTCTAAGATTCAGCTATTATGAATTGTGCTGCTGTAAACATGGTTATGCATGGTCCTGTTATATGATGCTTTTAACTCTGGAGGAAACTGAGAAGAGCAGTGGCTGCATTGAATGGAATTTGTAGTTCTGGGTTTTTGAGAAATCTCCATACTGATTTCTATAGTGGTTGTATTTGTTTACCTTCCCACCTGGATGGTGAACGGTTCCTTCTTCCACAGCGTCTCCAGCATGTTATTATTTGATTTCTCAATGATGGCCCATCTTTCTAGAGTCAGGTGGAACCTCAGTTTTTATTGTAGTTTGTTTAGTTTAATGGCTAACAATGGTGCTTTTGTTGTTACTGTTGTTGTAGTCTTGTTTCAATACAGGGTCTCGCTGTATGGTTTAGGTAGGCCTTGAACTTAACCCAAGTAACCCAGGTAGCCTCAAACTCTTGATGATCGTCTGTGTAGCTCAGTGTGAAGATCCGAGTTCAATTACCATTGCCCCAGTAAGAAAAAAGTGTGTTGCTGTGAGAACGAGGGGTAACCTGGAGGAAGGAAAACACTCCCCCATGATTAGCCAGAGCTGGTTGCCATGGGAAGTAAAGAGGCAGAGGATCAAAGTGCTGAAGCAGGTGAGAGCTGCAGGGAAGTGACGGGAGGGGAGAAGCCCTGAGATGCGGGCGCTCCAGCATGAAGCGGGGAGGGGCAGGGGAAGGCCCAGCAGCAAAAGAAACAGCAGGAAGTGTGTGTGTGTTTACATGGAGGTCTCCTCATCACACTGTCAGTCCTTCTAGGGTAGGAATAGAATTTTACTGAGCTTGCATCCCTCTGAATCCACAAGTTTCTCTGCAAATTTGAAACTCTGTTGTTTTTGGGGTTTTTATTTTTGTTTCTTATCAATTAAAGAACCCAAGGACAATGTGGTCCTGTGTTGTTTGCTTTCTTCCCACTTCCTGTGAACATAAAATGTACAGTGTTCATGGTTAACTTTATTAGTGAGCTTGAGAAGATCTTGTCCTTCCACACTTTTCATGTCACCTGATTCCAATTACATTGCCAATGCAGGGGCCAGTGTCATTTAAGGATGTGGCTGTGGACTTTACCCAAGAGGAGTGGCAGCAGCTGGACTCAGATGAGAAGACAACGTACAGAGATGTGATGCTGGAGAACTATAACAACCTCCTTTCTGTGGGTGAGGATAACTTTCTTTTCTTTTTTTTTTTTTTTTTTTTGGATAAAGGTCTTACAGTGTAGTTCATGCTGGCCTTGAACTCACTCACGTACCCCAGGCTGACCTCAGCCTGATGGTGATCCTCCTGCCTCAGCCTCTGAAGTGCTAGGATTGTAGGCATGTGCCACCACGTGTGGTGATAGCTTGCTTCTGATCACTTTGAGTATATGATTTGGTCTTGAGTTTGAAGAAACAAGTGATAAGACCTTTTGGGTATATTGAATGTTTGTGTCTTGTGCATTGAAAGGTTCTAATTTTGATAGGTAAAAACTGATGTACATTATTATACAGCCTCTGGAGCAGCATCTTCCTGTGCTGCAGAAATTCTGAAGCCACCCAGAGGGTCCCAGTCCTTGTCCATTTCTTGTTAACAGGATATGACGTTAGCAAACCCAATGTGATCATTAAATTGGAGCAGGGGGAGGAGCCATGGACAATAGAAGATGACTTCTCTCACACTTGGCCAGGTGAGTGAATATAGTCATCAGATTTTTGGCTTTCCAAGTTAATACTATACTATAGGTGCAACTTTAGAAATTTCAAAGATTTTTCACCAAATGAAAACTGGGGAGAATGGAAACTGTCATTTGTATTTAGAATTAAGAAAAAGTATTATGATCAGGACATGACTAATTTTAGGTAATATAGTGAGCAAATTGAAAGAAAATTGATTAAACTATTTGTGTCAAACTTCTGAGCTCTGTTTCAGGAACTGTCTCTAAACATGAGGAAATTCAAGCTTTTTAGAGTGTGTATTTGGTTTTGTATGCAGAGTAGAAAAGCAGTGGTTTCAGAATGGCCTAGGTTGGCAGTCCTGATACAAATGATATGTTGCTGATTTAATGTGTCTTGCAGTCTTTTATACCAAGTGTAAGCCATACTTGACTATCCCTTTTGCATGTATATTCAGAAATTGTTCTTACTCTTTCATGGACCTCTTTTGCTCTAAGTCTTCCTGTTTCTGCCTGGATCTAGCACTTACCCAGTAGGGTTTATTTCACCTCCTTTACCAAAGTTTTAAATGCAATATTTTTAATGTAACAAAAGTAATTGCGTTCAGTGAGAATTCACTTTTCCTTTTTCCACTACTACTGACCCTGTACTTCCCAACCTCCATAGTTCCCTACCTCCCTCAAGTCCTCTGTGTGTGTGTGTGTTGTATTCTAAATTAAAGAGAAAAGATCAATACACTCAATTTATGTTTTATTTGTGGATATTAGCCCCAAAAATAATGTACTTAAGTGCCACTCCCATTCTGTAGCTTGTGTGTCCAGATTCACAAAGTTTGTTTAATCTTTTTCTTTCCAGATGTGTGGAAGGTTAATGATCTGATAGAGAGAATCCAAGAAACTGAAGACAAGCATGGAAGGCAAGCTGTTGATACTCACTGCCGAAACTTGCCAGAGGAGCGAAGGGATGCATTTGATAAAGTTTATAATGTACAAACGAGTCTTCCTTCAAACATAATAGCTCACAGATGCGTCTCCTGTGGGAAGATGTTAGAATCTGTTTCAGAATTAATCAGTAGTGATGGAAGCTATGCAAAGAAGAAACCTGATATATGTAATGAATGTGAGAAAGTTTGTCATGAAGAGAACCTTTGTGAGTTTAATGAAAACGAGGATACGTATTCTCAAAGTGAAGAAAGTATTCTGCAGAAAATTAATGATTTGGAGAAGCCGTTTGACTACGAGTGCATGGACGCCTTAGACAGCGAAGCTGTTTTCATGGCTCATCATGAAGGAGCATATATGGGGGAGAAGCCTTATGAGTGGAATGATTCTGAGCCAGACTTCATCCAGATATCAAATTTTAATGCCTATCAGAGATCACAGATAGAAATGAAGCCCTTTGAATGCACAGAATGTGGAAAGTCCTTTTGCAAAAAGTCCAAATTCATCATTCATCAGAGGGCCCACACAGGAGAGAAACCCTATGAATGTAATGTGTGTGGGAAGTCCTTTAGTCAGAAGGGAACGCTCACTGTACATCGCAGATCACACTTGGAGGAGAAGCCCTATAAATGTACTGAATGTGGGAAAACCTTCTGTCAGAAGTTACACCTCACACAGCATGTGAGAACTCACTCAGGAGAGAAGCCCTATGAATGTAGTGAGTGTGGGAAAACCTTCTGCCAGAAGACACATCTCACCTTACATCAGAGAAACCACTCAGGAGAGAGACCCTACCCATGTAACGAGTGTGGAAAATCCTTTTCACGCAAGTCAGCTCTTAGTGACCACCAGAGAACCCACACAGGTGAGAAGCTTTATCAGTGTAATGAGTGTGGGAAATCCTACTACCGAAAGTCTACCCTAATCACTCACCAGAGAACACACACAGGAGAGAAGCCCTATCAATGTAGTGAATGTGGCAAATTCTTTTCAAGGGTATCGTACCTCACTATCCATTACAGGAGTCATTTAGAAGAGAAGCCTTATGAGTGTACTGAATGTGGAAAAACTTTCAATTTAAATTCAGCCTTTATCAGGCATCGGAAGGTACATGCAGAAGAGAAACTCCATGAGTGTGGTGAATGTGGGAAGTTTTCTCAGTCACCATACCTTGATGACCATGACACAACTCATGTAGGAGAGAAGCCCTATGAATGTAATGAGTGTGGGAAAACCGTCCTTGAAAACTCAGCCTTCAATGGTCACCAGCCCCTTCCAGAAGAGGAGAAAACCTATGAATGTAATATATGTGGAAAATCCTTCTCGGAGTTGACTACCTATACTGTACATTACAGAGGACATGCTGAAGAGAAGCCCTTTGGATGTAATGAGTGTGGAAAAACTTTCTCCCATAATTCATCCCTCTTTAGACATCAAAGAGTACACACTGGTGAGAAGCCCTTTGAATGTTATGAATGTGGGAAATTCTTTTCCCAGAAGTCCTATCTCACAATTCATCATCGGATCCATTCAGGAGAGAAACCCTATGAATGTAGCAAGTGTGGGAAAGTCTTCTCTCGGATGTCAAACCTCACCGTACACTATAGAAGCCATTCAGGAGAAAAACCCTATGAATGTAATGAATGTGGAAAGGTGTTTTCTCAGAAATCATACCTCACTGTACATTACAGAACTCATTCGGGAGAGAAACCCTATGAATGTAATGACTGTGGGAAAAAGTTCCACCACAGATCAGCTTTTAATAGCCATCAGAGAATTCATAAAAGAGGGAATATGAATGTACTCAATGTGGAAAATTCCTGAAATCAAATCTCAGTTATTAGAGAACTTCTGACTGTACAAATATGGGAAATTCAGTAGGGAGCCTAATATTGTTCATTTGACCATTCATTCTCCTGAATAGGGAACAGTTTTGAAGTGTTAAATCCATTTTAATCTGAGTTTTCAGAGAAGAATTCCTAAAGTACATCAAGTAGCAAAGCCTTCAAGAAGACCATGGAACTCATGGGACACTAGATAATATATGCAGGTGTGAAATTTTATAAATAATTATTTATTTTAGGCTCAAGTTGTATATACCTATCAGGGAACCATGCTAAGGAGAAACCTGTCAATATGATGAATGTGGAAAACATACTGTCTTGAAAATTGTTATGCTAAAAGCCATATTTCTGATGTAAAAGCAAATGTTTATAGGAAAGATACCAGAAATTAAAAACTGTCAGTTCTGAATAAATTTTCATTTTATGAAATGAAGTTTTAAAATCATCAAGAGTTGTAAAGACTATAGTGTTAGACTACATTTCCTGTTAATGTTTTTTAAAGCAATCTAATGATAATTCTATGCAATTCTATTCAAGTTAGGATTTGAGTATTTTGTGAAAAGGCAGTATTCTTACTTGCATATTGGATGGCAAAATACTAATGGATATGTTGTCGGTGGAATATCTGATAATTATATAATGGTAAAGTATGTAATTTTCAGTTCTTTAGGGCAATTTACAAGTTCATTTTTAGTGAATGTCTCATCAGTAGAGGAGTGACTTTAAACTTCAGTTGAGCAAAAAAACAGAAAAAAAGATCTTAAAAATACAATTTTGATAAAGTGCACACACGATTTGGGATTGAATCTGTTTTAGGGAAAGAACTGCATGAGCTGCCTTACTCTACCTACGTGTGCTAAACCACCGTTCTTCACCTCTTCTATTTCTTGGTCTGTAGATCTGAGTACATAGGATGTCAGTGTTATGTAATTGAGGCATACTTTATCTGAGTTTTTATGGGATATAGATACTATTGTCATTGCAACTTATTCTCAGTACTTTGAAGCAAATCAGTATAGCAGACATTTGCTTCAGTGTCTTGCAGACAATGTTGTAGCAGACATTTTCTGGCTGATTAACTTAATGTCCTCCCCTCATTCCTTAGGGTTTGGCTCCTTGCCTTTTCACTCGACCCTATAAATCCTGATGAGTTTACACCAGTCATGATCCTTTAGGGTGCCAGTACAGGAGCACTCTGTTCTCCACAGTTGGCCTGTTCCAGGGCCCCCAGTGGATGCCTGAGGTGGCCACAGCTCCAGCCTGCATGTGCAGTGGCACTACAGCGTTTCTTCTGAATACATAGATGGTTGCTGTGTCATCAGCAGGTGGCAGACACACCGGGGGTGCAGTGGGTAAAAGGAAGATTTGTGTCCCAGGTAGGATGTGCAAGATCTCTTCACACTAGTTAGGATCATGCACACATCAAAACTTAAGAAATCACTTGTTTCTGAATCTTCCCACTAAATGCTTCTGGACTAGCTATCCTATAGTTGGAAGTGTGCAGAGTGAAACCTTGGATAAGGGGCTCTTGTAACTTGTTTAAAATGGCCCTGTGACCCAGCTCTTTGCAAACAAAACAAACAGGTTTGTTCTAGGAAGTTGGTAAACTCGTGATCAAATGGGTCTTTAAGAATACAAGAATGGTTAAATCTGACTTAAGAAATCAGCCCCTGTCACATAAAAGTGATTTGATGTGCACAAAACTCATCAATTAATATCCATTTATGATCTTAGCAAATGTGGGTAGAGATGAACTTCCTGAATTGGACAAAATAACTTTTAAACTATAACAAACAGTATGCTTAATGATGAAATAGTGAATGTTTTCTCCCACAATAAAAAGTCAGAGATACCGTTTGTCACAGATTTTATACAACTCTGTATAGAAGGACTTAGCCAAGAAATTTTATATTTGCAGAGATATAACTAGTCTTGATCTTAGTCAAAAGACTGAGAAGCAGAGACATAAAATAAATAGAATATTCTGAGAGATTTGCAAATAGTAACTAGTAAATTAAGCAAGGCCCCTGCATATATGCATATAGGGTCATTTTGTAAAATTTTTTTTCATTATATGAACAAGAAAATATGAATTTTTCAAGTGTCTAGGGAACAATTTAACACTAATTTTCAAGAGATTTACCCAGAAAAATACAAGAATTACAACATGGATGTTTGTTTTTTATGGGTTTCAGGACAAACTCAAAACAATGTCACTTTTCCCTAAATTAACTCATATTTTCAATCTTTTTCTGCTTGGTTTTGCTTTTGTGGTACTGGGAATTGAACGAAGGGCCTTGAGCATGCTAGGGAAGCATTGTGGTGCTGATCAACTGCCGCAGCCCTTTAGTTTGTTGTAATTTTTGAGACAACTTCACTGAGTTGTTTAGGCTGGCCCCAAACTTGAGATCCTCCTGCCTCAGCCTCTGAGATGGTATTATGTGCATACACCACCACACCCCATAAATACAACCATAATAAACCCTAGAGTTCTTGAATGGAAATTTGCATGTTAAAGTTGATATGAATATTTAAAAGGCAAATAATATCGTCAAAGCTGTCTTGTAAAAGAGAGTTGTACAATTTTGTTGGCAGGAATCAAGACCAGTTATAAACCTTTGGGAAGTGTGGTGTGATACTGGCACAAAGATAAAAGTGCCGGTGAAACAATACAGAAATTCTAGAAATAGACACATGGCCACTGACCAAACAAGAACGAGGGCAAACTAAGGGGGGAAACAATGCTCGTTCCCCATAAGTTTTGTCAAAACTTTGGAACTTCGTAACAGTGAAATTTTCTTACCTAAAAATCGAAACTAAGATAAAAATGAGTTAGTTTGGATGTACAGACTTGCGCTTCTGCTTATCAGAAAGACATTATTAAGAAAGCAAATGGAAGGCAAGCAAGGCGGGAGTAAAAGCCAGATGGTAAATATGCTGGGCTTTGTTCTGCTGCAGCTGCCGAGTTTGCTGTTGTATGGAGCAGCCAAGAATGACACATACACAGACCTCATCTCAGACTCTTGTTTGCTGCACTGGGAATTGAACCCAGGGCCTTGTTACCAACCTGCGTCCTCAGCTCTCTCTGTCCTTTTTTCTTTTCTGGGAATAAATTGCCCTAACTGGGCTTGAACTTGAAATCCTCCTGCCTCAGTTTCCCATGTGTTGGGATTACAGGTGTTCACCACCGTGCCTGAACATGGTGCATAAGTGAATGGCTGTGTCCCAGAAAGCTTTATTCAAAGCACAGGGCAGTTAGGATGTGGCTTGCAACCTATAGTTTTCTAGTGCTTGGTCTGGAATATTTAAAGAACACCAGCAAATCAACAAGAGGAATGGGGCAAAAGAGTTGGCCTCCCTCTTCTCAAAAGATAATAAACCAGAATGCCAATAAGCACGAGAAGATTGGTTAAGTTTGTCAAGGAAATAGAAATTCAGTACTACTGCCCGCCCACTGGAGTGGTTAAAATGGAGGCTTGAGAAGCAAGTTTGGGCAGGAGTGGAAGCACCCGAGCACTTTGTGATTGCCAGCTAGCAGACAGGAGAGGGCACGTGTGTGCTATGCGACTGAAACAGGCAGAAAGCAACTATCTTGAGGCGTGTATATGTAATAGACTGAATAAATGCATGTTTCCGCAGTAGAATAATGTAGGACCATGAAAGTGAGTGAACCATAAGCCAATGTAGGAGCAGCTGAATTTCTCCATGCTGAATAAAGGAGCACAGACAGAGGTAAGCAGACTGTGGGACTCTGTGTGGAGCATAAAGATGGGCAAAATTTGTCTATGCAATTAGAAATCAATAAGCATTTATCCTTGGCCAGTGCTTACAAGGGATATTTATTGGTGCTGGTAATAATCTGTTTTGAAATTGGGTGCTGAATATCTGTCTTGAGCTGCATTCTTACAATGTGTATTTTTTTGCATGTGTATTATACTTTGATAAAAGTTTCTCAAATCAAATGGCTAACACTCGCTCAGCACTCAGTGTATTTTTCTAGGTACAGTATATGAATATGCTATGGGACAGCAGTTAAATGGTAGATTTTTCATAACTGTGCAACTATGTACTCTATGGTGTTTTTAATGGCAACTGCTATGATTTTCTACATTGTCCTTAAAGTTGACCATTTTGTGTATTTAAAGTATTTGGAAGGGTTTAAGGCTCATTACATATTTTGTCATCCCAGACTCTTGCATATATAAATAGGTCTGGCACGTATCAGTGGTTTCGGGCTTCCTCTTGAATAAAAAAAGCTGATGTATAAACTCTTCACATTTTGTCAAATTGTTTTCACGTCTCTGAATTTGAGGTACATCTTACTGCCGTAGAGATAACATTTCTTAGGGTACACACAGTGCTTAATTCGATTTAATGAAAAATTAAGTTAAAAGGTGTTCCCTTGATTATTTCAGCAAATGTAATATACAGAGACTTTTTTGTTTGGTTTTGGTTTTGGTTGGTGGTATTGGGGATTGAACCCAGAGCTACACCCCAACCCATTCTCCTTTTTGTTTTGAGACAAAGTAATGCTAAGTCTACAGATTGTCCCGGCTGGTCTTAAACTTGGTCATACTTGTGTCTCGGCCTCCCATGGTTACAGGCATGTGCCACCATACCCAGCCAAAATAACAGCACAAATATGACAGAAGAAACATGCAACTAAAACTTTGCACCTATAAAAGTATAACAGCACCTGGTGGGAGGTGCAGCGACGCTGGCTAAGCTTGCAATGGCACAGCGAGGGCAAACGTTCTGATGGAGTAGTCTACGCTTTTTTGCCTTTCACTCTTCTCATTGTGGATTAAGCCTCAAGTGTGAACAGATCTGAAATGCCTGGTTTGTGCTGTGACTTGAAGATGTGACTCCCCCACACTGAGGAAGGGTGTTCTGTCTGTCACCCAGAGCCCTGTACTCTCTGAATATCACTGTAGCCTGCTCACTGCATTGTGAGGTCACCCCCACCTAGCCCCAGATTGGTTTTACTCAGGCTCGGTTAATTTCAGCTTCTCTAAAATGTGCAAAAGACATTAATGCAAGATGACAAATTTGAGGCCAAAAGTTCACCCACCGGTCCTTGTTCCATCCCAAATTACACTGGGACTGGGGAAAAGAAGCTCTTCAGAGGAAGCCTGTGACAATAAACTAGTGTTAAAATATTCCATGTTAAATTTTGTCAAGGCCACAAAGCAAAAGGTACAGTATTTTCTCTGTGCCTCAAAACCCAACTTCACACTGTGGAAAGTAGATCCCTGTGGTTTCTGTTCAATGGGTGACCTCCCTTTAAATCATAGGTCTGAGGGCAAAGGGTGTGGAGTGAAAATAATGTCACAAATCCTGGAATGGCAGGGAGCCAGGGGCTCTCCGTGAAGCAAGGTGTAGTGCAAATATGGCTGAGCCAACTTCCAAAATGATTTGTCTCTGTACATTGTGTCGCTCTCACATCATTTCCCTGACTGGTGACAGTGGAACAGGAATCCAGGCAGCTCAGTCTGACTGGAATGCTAGAGCATGGGCAGAGGGAAGAGGCGAGGAAACACGTGCAGACAGGGCAGTGTGCCTGGGTGGTTCCTCCAGGACACAGTGGACAGGGAAGGGGATGGGGAGGCCCTGGGAATGTTCAGGTCTCCAGAGAGCCGGCAAAGGGGTCAGCAGCCCAGCTTGTGCTGATCACAAGTGCCTTGGGAACTTAAATGGCTGGAGATGTGGCTTAGAAGGAAGATCTTGAAATTCCCAGTACCACCAATAAGTAAAAATACTCAAAAGTTTAGCTCCTAAAAACATAAAACTTAGTCTGGCTACAGTGTCTGGCTTCCAATAAAAAGCATTTCTGCCAGGCATACAAAAGACGCAGGAAAAAAAAAAAAAAGCCAGGCAGGTAGTGAAAGCCAGTAATTTTAGCACTTGGGAGGCTGAGGCAGGAGGATTGTCATGTGTTCCAGGCCAGTCTAGACTACATAGTGAGTCCCTGCCTCAAACAAAACAAAACCTATAACGAGGAAAAAAAATAATACCCAGCAAGGGCATCCATCATCCATGACAGAATCGAAAGATAACATTAAAACCGCTAAACACACCAATATGCAAGAGGAATGAAGAATGCAGAGAGACTCCAAAGGAGTTTCTGGAAAGCTCAGCTGGCAGGCCTGGTCAAGCTGGGCCACATCAGACAAGAGAGGAAGGCAGAGCAGATCTGCAGGAGCGAGCTACCCAAGAGAGACCAGGCCAGCTGGGGTCACGGGTCACCAGCTGGGGCCTAAGGGAGCAGAAACCGATTTGGCTCAGGGACCAGGTTTAAAGGGGTGTGGCTAGGACATGAGGGCGTGTAGGCGAGGCGGTGTGACCGGGAGTGGGCAAAGCATGGCTTGGGCTCCAGTTTCCTGGTCAGGAGGTGGGGCGTAGTGTGGGCTCAAGAACGGACAAGGACGTGGGAGCACAGCTCGGGCTCTAGGACCGTGGCTGGGACATTGGGCGTGGCCAGAGCTCTAGGAGCCTGACTGGGATGTGGGGCGAGGCTTGGGCCCGGAGGACAGGCAGGGATAGAGGGTGTGGCTTCCTCGGGGGCGTGGTCAGAATGTGGGCGTTGTTAATAATTGAGGGGCGTGGTTACGAGTGGGCGTGGCCTGTCTTAGGGCAAGGCTCGAGGAGGCTGCCGGCCCTGGACAGCTCCTGGACCCAACTGTTTGCGTTTAACAGTCCTTGGGGAGCCAGAGACCGTTGCCTGGACCGTGGACTGACACGGGACATTTCGGAAGTGAGTCGCCTGGCTTCTGAGGGCCAGGATGGGTGGAGGATGTAAGAGGGGCAGCGGACCGGGCAGGACCTTTGACACTCCCCCGTCCCCTCCAGGTCCTGTCCCCGGCCATGTGGGCGCGGCTGGTCCTACTCTTCCTCCTGCAGCTCCAGGCCGCCCTGGGCCGCCCCTTCCTGGCCGCCGAACCCCCGGAAAATCTTCTGAGCCTGCCAGGAGGTTTCGGCCGTTTCAGCCGCCTACCCTGGCGGGAGAAGACAGGAGGAGAGAAAGTCATGGACCAGCAGAGAGTGAGCAGGATGCAGGGATGGACAGGGAGAGAGTGGAAAGATGCCCAGGACAGAACGCAGATGGGTGGGAGCTGGGCATAGTGGAGCACATCTGTAATCTCAGGGCACTGGGAGGATGAGGCAGTAGCATCGCAAGTCCAAGCTCAGCCCAGGAAATTTAGCAATTTAGCGAGACCTTGTCTCGGAGTAGAGTAAGTAAAATAATTAAAAATGGGGTGGGAGGGGCATAGTACTTTGCCACAGCCCTAGATGCAATCCCAGTTCTGAAAAAGGGATGTGGGGCAGCAGGTTGATTCCTAAGAGCCAAAGGAGAGGGAAAGGGTGGGAGGGATGCGGGGTGAGGTGGAGGGGCGCCCTGGCTTTGAGGTGGGCTGCCCATCGGCCACCTCTGAACCTCAGGAGCGCAGGCTCAGCTCTCTACCCACAGCCACAGCACAGAGAGCAGGGTCCCTGGCTGAACTGTAGCCGGCAGAAGGAAGATCAGATTATCCCTTTTCAGCAGGACTCCAAAGCGCAGGAGACGGCGACATGCAAGTGGCCACAGTCTGGTTCCTGGGGTCCCGTTGAAGTCCAGGCTGCTGAGGTGACTGCTCCAGAGGTGCGGCCTAAAAACCCCGAAGGAGGATTGTGAAGGACATCGAAGGTCACCGGCCCTCCTGGCCATCCTCCTCAGGGGGGCCGTCAAGCAAAGGACCTGAGGCTCTCTCCACACATTCCCCTACCTCCTTTCTGTTCTTTCCCCACCCTGGCAGCTGCTGGAAAGTTTGGGGATGGGCACAGACATGCACCTTCCTAACCTTGCCCCTGGCACCATCCAGAAATAAAGATTTTTTTCTTGCAGCTTAGCACTGCTGTTTCCTTTGGGATCTGTACTCAGAGCCCTGCCAACCTTCCAGGGCCATGCCTGACCCCAGCCCTGATTATGACATCCCTGTCCTGTCTGAGCACTGTGACACTGCACTGTTCGGCTGCGAGTGCTACTTCTCTCTTCCCTGGGAAGAGGGACATGGCTTGTTACCCAGGACTTCAGAAGAGTGTGCTGAGTGGTACAGCACAAAAGTTTCTAATCCTGCTGGTTGCCACCCTGAAACCTCTCCTGCCTGAGCTTGCTGGGTCCATCCTCTTTCACAGCACAACCAGAATCACAGCCCTTGCTACTTTCAGGATCAGCAATTCAAACCTTCCAAGCCTGGTTGTTCCTTTAAAAGTTAAACGTGCTGGGCATGGTGGTGCTCGCCTCTAATCCCAATGTTGCAGAAAAACTAATATCATACTGAATGGAAGACTTTGCACTGAGGAGTTAGAAGGCAACTGTTTATTACTGTGCTAGCCAAGAGCCAGCTTTGAGTCAGGTTTAAATAGAGTTTATGAGTTGGAAGCCCAAGGCATTGCATGACTGGTTACATGGATCGAATTAAGTCAATTGTGTCAGGAAAACTGGCTCTAAGTATATCTGCTTAAAAAGAATTTTTTACCATAACATAGGAAAATCCTGGGGATAAGGGGAGGGGGTTCAAATGGAGCAAGCAAAGTTAAAAAGTATCTTAGACTGCGTCACTTCACCCCAACCAAAGTCCTCGAAGCCAGTTAGAAGCAACACATTTTCTTAACTAAGGGAAACACAAGCTGAGAATAATCACAATGGCCCAACACATTATCAGAAGAAAAGCAGCTGGACCCAGACAGTCAAGGCCGACTGAATTTGGCAGGGTGTTTACATGGCAGGCAGCAGGAGCATAAGCAGAGGTTGCTGTTTGATTTTAACCTTCTATAACATATGTATGTTTATTCTGTAACTGTGCCTTTACTAATCATATAATTGTGCCCTTACACAAGCACTCTGGGAGGCTGAGGCAGGAAGATTGCAAGTTCAACACCCAGCCTGGACAATTTAGTAACTTCGTGAGACCCTGTCTCAAAATTTAAAAAACTGAAAAAGGGCAGTGTGAAGACCCTGGGTTCAGTCCCCAGCACTGAAAAAAATACATAAAAAACACCTACTCTGGGCCAGCCATTTTGCACCTGTGTTCTACCCAACAGAGATGAATGTGCATGTCCATGCAGAGGCTGGAGCGTACACACAGCAATCAATCCAAATTTGAACAGGTAAATGGACAAATTGTGAGATAGCCTTACAGATAAGGAGGAGTCATTACTCAATGCACAAAAGAGCACAATGTCTTTCCAAAGCTTTATCCTAAGCAAAAACAGTCAAGACTACAGATAATTCCA